GTTAAATTATTTCCTCATATTGAGACCGCCTCTCTTCCACAAGGAAGAACAGCCATTTTCTCTTTGTTAGCTCAGCTACAAACTTACATTCATAAACGAGAAAAGGCTTTCTATATTGGACATTAGAGCTCATTCCTGCCTACCAGGACCCTTAAGCGAAGGAAATTATCAGGCGGATTTACTAACTCGCCCAGTAGTTTGTACAGCTCTAGAAGAAGCCCGGCGGTCTCATGCCATTCACCATCAAAATGCTTCTGCTCTCCGTCTATATTATCGCATATCTAGAAAAGCTGCTTGAAGTATTGTGCATGACTGCAGCCAATGTCCTACTCATTTTCCTAGCCCTGCTACTGGAGTTAACCCAAGAGGATTTAGACCCTGTGACTTATGGCAGATGGATATTACTCATGTCCCATCTTTTGGCAAACTTTGCTATGTGCATGTTGAGTGTGTTTCCCCTCCACATCCTGCGTGGTTCAGGGTTCAGGATCTGGAAGAGGAGCCGCACACAAATGAAAGAAAAGAGACAAGAGACAAGAGATAATTTGGAAATATTAGGGAGCCAGGCGGGCAAGTCCAACTCAAGGAGAAGGACTTCCACTGGTGCTCAGGCCTCACCAAGCTTTTATATGGTTCGGGATCCACCCATAGTATAGCCCTTAGGCAGAGAGGTTCCAGTGACACACACACTTATTCTTATCAATAAGGATTTACGTGAATATCTAATCAACAAAGATTTACATGAGTATCTAATCAATAAGGAATTAAATGAATTAAGGTGGGGAGGATGCTTCAGCTACCATTATCTAGATTAACTGGGTGGTGCACAGCTCCGACCTTTGCTAGGGCTTCAAAGCTCATCAGCTTTTGGGGTCTCTACGCTAGTGAAGACAATAGGTGGTTTCCGACATGTGCATGTTTGTATTGATACCTTTTTCTCATGTTATCCTTGCTTCTGCACGTACAGAAGCCTTTAAAGATGTAAGTCAACATTTATTTCAATGTTTTTCCTACCTAGGAATACCAAGGGCACTTAAAACAGACAATGGGTCTGCCTATACCTCTAGAGCTTTTAAAAACTTATGCTCTACACTCGGCATCGCACATACTACAGGAATACCCTACAATCCTCAAGGCCAAGCAATAGTAGAAAGGGCTCACCAAACTTTAAAAACACAAATTAAAAAATTACAAGAAAATGAGTTTAAATATTCCTCTCCTCATCATGTTCTACAACATACTCTATTTGTAATTAATATACTAAATGTAGATTCTGAGGGAAATTCCCGGATGTACAGACATTGGAACCCTGATCTAACTAAACCTAAAACCCTCGTCAAATGGAGAGACTTGCTTACATGAGCCTGGAAGGGACCTGATGTATTTTTAACCTGGGGGAGAGGATATGCTTGTATACTTCCACAGGATGCAGACTCACCTGTGTGGATTCCAGACTGTCTAGTCCAGGGGTGGGCAAACTTTTTGACTCGAGGGCCACAATGGGTTCTTAAACTGGACCGGAGGGCTGGAACAAAAGCATGAATGGAGTGTTTGAATGAACTAATATAAATTCAAAGTAAACATCATTACATAAAAGGGTACGGTCTTTTTTTTCAATAGTTTTATTCATTTCAAAAGGGACAGATCCGGCCCGCGGGCCGTAGTTTGCCCATGGCTGGTCTAGTCTGACCTTATGTCTCACCGCCCTCCATCTCCGCCTCACCCTAGCACACCTGACCAGTGCCCATCTGCAGCAGATGTGCAGCCCTGAGCTGGAACAACCTGTCCATTGGGAGGATCACATGTGCCTCCTTTTTGTCTGTCCATATGTCCCAGCTTTGCCCCACATCTCCTTTCCTTTTTCTTTTCTTTTCTTTTTTATTTTAATCTGACTACTTGTTTGCTGGTTCTTTGGCTTTTCTCCTTCTCTCCTGAACACAGCCTTTTCTAGAATCTCCCTACCCTACTGTTCCAGGAAGGGAACCTCCCTTTTCTGCCGTGACTAGGCAGTGTCTGGTATATGCCCCATATGTGGAGCTGTCTTGGGCCAAGAGCCTGACATCCTGGGCTGAGAAAGCCCTGTCCCGGGACTACATGCTGATAGGCCATTCCTCCTTTGTCCTGTATTGGCCCCTCTTGCCCTTGTGTCAAGAGAGACCCTCTTCTCACAGTCCATTTGCCCACAGCTGTTGCCTGGGCTTTCTGTTCACGCTGAGGTTGAGGCCTCATGGTGGCCGGTGCCATGGATCTGTCTCTCGCCCAATGGTGTGAGCTGGGCCCTTCCTGGAGAAGAAACCTGGGGGGTCCCGAAGAGATGTGACTAGAGCCGGGGCCCCACCAGCAGGCGAGGGGAGCCCAAGGCAGGTGTTGGGCGTGGAGGCCACAGGGGCATAGGCTACCAAGGAGACAGAACTGAACCTCTTGCAGGGAGGCACTGCCCCTCCCTCATTTGCACACCTCATATCACCCAGCTTGGCCCCGGAAGATGGCTGGTTAGCCAGAGACGGATAAGATTCCTCAGGGAAGGAACAACCTAAGACAGGCACAGTCGCAGAGGGGCCATTAGGAGATAATTTGGGGCTCAACAGAGGTGGGGCATAGACCCTCACCCCCCCAACTTTGCAGAGGCCTGAACCCTCACCCCTTCTGAGGGAGGTCTCCTGCCCCCATGGCTGCTTTGCTTCCCACGCCCAGCTCAGATTGGGACCCAGGTAAAGATAGAGACTGGCTGATAGCAGCTGCCCTCTCACTGCAACAGGACTTGTTTCCCATTTCTACCTTGGACCACAGGGAAAGGGGCAGCTGAAGGAAAGGGCTGTGTCAGGATGCTGCCTTCTTCCCTTTCTTCTCCCTCTTTTTTCTAAACACTTCCATGCCTTGTAGTTCTTTTGCTTTCTCTTCTTTTTCTCTCTACTACCCTCCATCTCTGCCTCCTCCTCCTCCTCCCCAGTATCTTCCATATCAGCCGACCCAGAGGGCACAGCTGACTCCTCCCCGGACACCAACACCACCATCAAAGGCGACCCTGATGGACCCTTTGATGCAGCCCTTCAACTCACTAACGCTTTGGGAAGCTCGTCGCCAATGACGCCACCCGCTAGCCAGATCAACAAGGACAACCAAACCACTGACTTGAGGACAGCTGAAATCCCTTGACTGAAGAGGCCAGCAACATTCTACAGGAACAAGGCTCCTTCTGCACTCCATCCACTATGTTTATAGTTATGCTCCCTATCATTGCTTGTCAGACTTCTTCCGAGTCTTAAACAATCCAATCCGAGAGGTGGCTGCTGATTTACATGCACTATCATTTAAAAAATAAAAAAGGGGGAATTTGATAGAAGCCTGTCCATCCTTTCTGCTTGACACAGTCGCTGCAGGGAAGAAACATCTGACCAGCATATGTTTCAAGGGATCTGGCGTATAAGGCATACTGTTCTTAATATGTTTGCTCCCCTTCTTGGCGCTATGTGTTTTAACCAAGGTCACCTCTCCAAGAAAGATTGTTTCCCCAGGTGGGGATTTTTCCCTGAAGTTAGGGAGGGAATAAAACACCTTAACTAAGTGCCAGGAGGATAGTTAATCACTTTAACTACAAACAATCACGCTTAAGCTACATAATCTTTACTCCCTGGAATGGAGATAAGAAACGCCCTAACCCTTGGAATAGAAATTGATAGGATTAAAATCAACTGGTATAAATACAGATGTAACAAGACAATAAAACACAGAACCTGGCTGGAGATCCTGGCTAGGCTGCTGATCAACTGAACTCCTTGTCATTCCTTCTTTGCCGACTCCGTCCACACCTTTGGGAACCTCTGGGCCTGCTGGGGTTGGACCCCAACAATTTTCTCTGAGTAGAAATCAGTATATCCTCAGTTTTCTTCCTTCCTACATATTAAAGTTTCCTCATTGTTAAAAAAACCCCACTATACTTACATTAAGATATAAAGGCAATTTACATGTCTAACCTGTTACTCCCCTTATTACCAGTATTTCCTGAACTTATTTGGTGATTCTTTTCCTTTTACTGTCCTATGTGTTTCTCTTGGACTGCTGTGTTCAGGTGAGAAGGGTAATATTCCCAGGTACAAGCTAGTGATTTCCCCTTCAATAGTCCACGAGGAACTCTTTTCATCCTCCAAATTTCTTCATTGATAACTTTCTTGATTTTCTCTTCCTAATTCTACTTGATCTTTTTTCTCTTGGTATTCCAATATCTCTTATTTATACCTTAGTTTTTTCACTTTTCACTTTGCTTTTTATTATGATCATTTTATTCATTTATTCAACCTACATATGTTGAGAAGGGTTGGAAGTGAGGGTGGTAGGAATCTGAGTTTGAAGCTGAAAAGTAATTTTTAAAATTTCATCTCACTTAATCCTTTCAACAACCTTTTAAAGACCTATGATTATGCCCTTTTTCAGGTGGGGAAAGCATGGGAGATGATTATGTTACCTGCTCCAAGCTAGACAACTGGAAGAAGATAAAATTAAAACTTGAGATCAAGCCTTCCAACGTTATCTCCTATGTTCTCTTCCACTATCCCATGTTCACTTCTCTCTGGATTAGCAAATAAAAGGCCTTCCTGAGGAATCCACCTCTTTCTTGTTTTGCTTGGTAAACACTGTAGCTTCTGTTTTAATTATTTAATCTGAATTTGAATGCCTTAATGGGAACTGCACTGTTCAGTCCTCCGGAGTCCCCACCAGTTTGGCTGGTCTAACTCTAGGTGGTTTCCTACATTTAAATCACCTTCTTGGCCCTTCTGGCTTGTGAGATTTTGACCCCTGAAGGTTCCTTCAAGCCCTGTTTTGGAATTCCACCTCCAGAGTCTGGAAGGCTGGGCTTAAGTCACAGCTAGTTCACCCACTAGTCTTACTGTAAGAATTTTTTTTTTAAAGGATTGAACTTTCTCTTTTACTAAAACAAAGAGAACGTACCCCTTTTCCCTTTTCTTAAAGGATTTTCTTGAGTGAACTTGTAACCACAAATCCTTCCACTGTCCCTTTTGTAAGTTTACAGTTGCCTTGCTCCAAGCTGTAAGGACCTGCTTGTGATAAAGATAGCAAAGTTTTAATTTTTACTCTATTTTTTTTTAAAATACAACAAATGTTTAATGCGCAAATTCGTCTTAGCAAATATGAAACTGCCACAGAGGAGGAGGGGCAGGGCCGTGGGACTGGAGAGGAGAGAACCAACTACGTTAAGAAGCCAAGGGGAGGACTAGAGGCCAAAGGGCTGGACCTGCGGAGCTGGGGAGGGAGAGGGAGGGCAAAGGGCCAGACAACAAAATTCAAAATAGTTTGGCCATAAAATATAAACACGCTGTTCCTACGGTGGAAAGGGGGATGAGCGGGTGAGGTATGAGGGAGGAGAGGCTGTCTTGGGGAGGGGCTGTGGGGTCCTACCCCACCCTTCCGTGCACCCCTCCCCATCCAGACCCCTTCCCTCTGTCTGTGGGTGCGTGTGTGGGCCGTGTGCACACTTCCCATCCCCCCCTCCACCCCCCACCCTTAATTGCTGCCGTTCCAGTTGCTGCCGCCTGTCATTCGGCTGTCACTCCTCTGCCTGTTGTCTACGGAGGGGGAAAGAGGGAGGGGGCATGGGGGAGTAGCCCCCAGCCAGCCCGGCTCCACCCACCCCCGCCGCCTCTACCAGAAGTCCCGGCGGTGGTAAGAGTCGGGGTCACAGTATTTTGTGACAACCACTCTGTTGTCGAACTTGCGACCTGTCAGGCCCTGCATGGCTTTCTGGCAGTCACACACAGAGGTGAACTCCACGAAGGCCTTCCCGCAGCCGGGCACCTCGACGCCGTCCACCGGCCAGGGGATTTCGATGGACTTGACCAGCCCGTACTTGCTGCACTCGTTCAGCATGTCCTCCACGATCTCCTCGTACTCCTCGTCGTCCAGCAGCTCCTCGGGCAGCACCGTGTTCAGGAGGCACAGGACCTTCGTGGGGTGGCTGCCCATCTGCACCTGGGAGCTCAGGCCCAGCACTTGCAGGGTCACGGGGGTCTGGTGGATGGTGCTCGGCGTGGCATTCTTGGCTCCCACACCCGCCCTCTGGACCAGCAGTTTCTTGTCCCCCAGCTGCATCCCGTTGGGCCCCGCCATGGCCTGATCCGTGACGCTGATGTCCACATACTCACAGAAGGTGCAGCCCTTGGAGAGCCAGGTGGCGCTGTCCTTGACCAGGTTGAAGGCCTTGAGAGGCCCGAACCATGTCAGCAGCTCTTTCACCTGATCATCGTTCAGGCAGTTGGGTAAGCCCCCAATGAACAGCTTGTGGGCAGAGTCCGGGACCACAAGTGGGCACAGCTCCTGCAGTGCTGTTCGTCCTGGGCTTGGCAGGTAACCTCCCCCCCCCCCCCCCGCCCCCCCAACCAGGGCTCTGAGAAGGCTGGGGCTGGGGCCCAGGGATCAGCAGCTGGGGGTCCCCCGACTAGGGCCCCACAGTCTGAGCTCCCCCACGGGTCAGGGGTGGGCCCCTCTCCAGCTGCAGGGGCCTGGGTCCCACCCCAAGGGTCAGCAGGGGTCCCCACAGGGGCAGCAGGCCTCCAGGGGTCCCGGAGGCCGGTGTAGGGGCCGGACCACCCCAGGAGTCAGCAGCTGGAGGAACAGGAGGTCCCACCCAAGGGTCCGAGGCAGGGGTGGCTGTGGGATGGTAGTGCCATGGGTGCTGGCCCCCCCCAGGGGTCCGAGGCCATCGGAGGAGCCGGGGCCATAAAGACATCAGTGAGATCCATGAGGGACGACTCCTCCTGGCCCCCGGTCTCCCGCTTGCTCTCCTCTATGGCCATCTGCAGCCTCAGGTCATCCCCACGGCGGATCCGCTCCTCCTTATCGTGCTCCTCTCGGCTCAAACTAAGGGCCAGCTGGAGCTGGACGTCATCCTCGGGGCCGCAGGACGCGGGCTGGTCCGCCTCCTCCTTGCTCATGGCCAAGGCCAGCTGCAGCTGCAGCTCCTCCTCCCGGCTGCTCTGCGGCCACGCCTGCTCGGCCTTGTGCGCCCCCCACCCCCTCCCCGCTAACCCACTGCTGCTGAGGAGGCCGTGACAGTCTGCGCCAGCTTCTCCTTGGTCTTGAGCACGTGGGCTCGCTCCTCCCGCAGCCGGTCCTCATCGCGCTGCGCTGTAGGGCCACCAGCTGCTTGGCCTCCTCTCGCACGTTGACGCCCTGGTCCTTGCCGTCGCGGTCCACGTACTGCAAGTCCTTGAGCGTCTGCGCGGTGTACATGTTCTCCTGGCACTGCTGCGACACAAGCTCAGAGCCCGTCTTGATGGGATGCTCCATCAGCGTCATGGCCTTGTAGACGTGCCGCCAGTTCTTGCCGTGGTCGCTGAGCCGCTTCCAGATCATGCTCATGATCTCCGATGGCGTTGCAGGTGAGGTCGGCGATCTCAGACATAAGCGAGCTGGACGGGTCCCAGGGGTCGTTGCTCGTGGCCTCGCGGACCTTGAGCTCGGCCTCCGAGTAGTTGTGGACGATGTTTTTCATCTGGCGCCGCAGCGGCGAGGTCGACCTGGTGGCTGGTGGTGGTGCCAGGGGCGGGCCCCCGATGTCGGGGGATAGAGGGGAACTGCAGGAGGGAGGCCACCGCAGGGCTGGCAGATCACCGCATCTCGACCCCCTCACGCCGGCTCCGAGGGGGGTCATGGCTGGAAGCCCCCTGCCCCCGCTCGGCCTCGGTGTCCGGGGGTGCGCGCCGAGCTGCGGGCAGCGAAGGCAGGAACGCGCTCCGGCGGACGCGCGGACGCACGGAGGACCGCACGACGACGGCCCCGCCCCCTGGCGCCCGGCAGGGACTTGGAGAGCCCAGCGGGAAAGCGGAGCCTCCAAGCGGACGGGAAGCAACCATAATTTTTACTTTTGATTATGGCAATTAACTAACACAGATGGCCACCAAAAAGGTGACTTACCAAAGGGTGTATAGCAAACGGTGCTGTTAAGTCCTCTTCCGTGAAAACGTGCAGGTCATGCATTGTATCTGCCTGGCTACATAAGAGAGTGAAGTTTCTGTCTGTCTTTGCAATCACATGAGCGAATTGTGTGAGACCCCAGCCCAGTCTGGTTTGGTGCTCACAGAATAATAGAGTTTTTGTTTTTTTTCTCCATTGGTGGAGATTTCCTAAAAGTTGCAGGATATCTTCCTTTAATATATATATATATATATAATTGATTTTTTAGAGAGGAAGGGAGAGGGCTAGAGAGCCAGAAACATCAATGAGAGAGAAACATTGATCAGCTGCCTCCTGCACGCCCCCCACTGGGGATGTGCCCGCAACCAAGGTATATGCTCTTGACCTGAAGCAAACCCGGGACCCTTGAGTCTGCAGACCAATGCTCTATACACTGAGCCAAACCGGTTCTGGCAGGATATCTTCCTTTTAATTTTTCCTCCACACTCTGACTTTACTTATGTCTCTCACCTTTGCTTTCTTTCCATCCCCCACCCGCAACAGTAACTTGCTCCAGGTTCACTAGCGTGCCTAGGGATCGCAACGCCTCCGCCACCAGAACTACGATTCCCAGCATTCCTGACGCTCCCCGCGCTCCCCGCTTCCGCTTCCGGTCCAGGGGCCGCAGAAACCGAAAGTGCGGTGTTTTTAGGCGCCCCACTGAGATTGATTCACCTTCACCTGTGCGAGCCCTAGTTGACCAGGTAGGAAACCAGACAGGCAGTAAAATATGAACGGAAGAGTGGATTGTTTGGTCACTGAGGAAGAGATCAATCTTACCCGAGGACCCTCAGGTACGTGCGGAATTGGGCATCTTTGGGAGCAGGGTCCTTTAAGTGTGATTGCAAAGCAGACACTTCTTCTGAGCCAGATATTTTTGGACTCAGAGCTGGCAGGCCCCAATCCAGAGGTTTCCTGCCACGCTTTTGAGCATGTAGTAGAAGAATATTTTGGCATCCATCCTTAGCCAGACAAGGACCTGAGGAATCCGTCTCATTTTTTTTTTTTTTTTTTTGAGTTGGATTACCTATTGTAGTCAGGACAGGTTTCTTTCTGCTAATGGTACCAGAAAATCCTGGGAGAAAGCCTGCTTTTTAACCAGCACACAGTGAACAACACACCCCTCCTCCCATTGCCTGATCTATACCTGTTTCTATGAGAGACGTTAATAAACATGGAAGTACAAACGGTGTAGACACCGTTTCTTGGTGCTAGTATCGCTCCCTTCCTCCTTTCGCTTCTGGGAAAGTCACTTCGTGTCAACTTGAATTTTAAAGCAGAAAGAGACCTTAGCGATCTATTACAAAAGTTCCCAAACCTGGTTCTGCCTCAAAATTAACCAGGGTTTTTGCTTAAAAAAAAAAAAAAAAAAAAAAAAAAAGTTAATTATTAGGTCCTGTCTCTTGGAAGTTGGATTCAAAGCAGGTATTTTATCATTTGTGTGTGTGTGTGTGTGTGTGTGTGTGTGTGTGTGTGTGTTTAAACAAGCACATCATGGTTCTGGGGTGCCAACAATTTTCTTGACATGGATAATGGTTCCCTGATTCTGATACCGCCCAAATCTTCATTTACCAACAGTCCTCTTCCCCCTGATGCTCTTCACTCACTGGGCTGTTACCAATACTGCATGCTGCCTGCCTCGAATTTTGTTGCCTTTCCCTTGCACCTGTCTAGTGTATGGATTCAGAGCTTTAGCTGTGGGATTATGTAGGTCTAATTCTGGCATCTGATATCCTATTAGTTCTTTGATATTTATTCTCTGACCCATTTGACTGATGTAAGCCTTAGTTTCTCCTCTGTAAAATGTGCCTAATAGAATATACTTCATAGGGTTATGAGAATGAAATGAATTAAACTATGTAATGCCTTTAGGACATTTCCTACCACATGGTTAACACTAAGTATCTGCTATTACTGTTGTTATTGTTAATAGATGAATGGCGAGATTAACACAGTAAATTCCACTACATACTGTTATTCCAAGAGTCTCCAGTAAGTCGTTAAGTCCCAGCAGCTCCATCTCTGAAATGTTTCTGTGAGCCTTCCACTCTTTTCTGTTCCCATCACCACTACCTAGAACAGTCCATAATCTTTTCTCACATGGAATTTTATTATAGCCTGACCACCATTTCTAAATTATTCCCCATAAAATATGGCTTTCAGAATCATTCATACTTTGCCTTCTTTCTTGTTATAAAAAATTGGAAGGTGACTTTACTTATCAGAATATAACTCGTGGCTAATCTGCATGGTTTAGTGTCATGTACCATATGAGCTCCTAAACCTTTATCAAAGGCTCTTATGTCCAAGTTTCTTAGTGTCCTGTTTTATGTAAATATCTCCTTTCACCTTCAATATTTCTTGACTTTAAAGCTAACAGAAAATTATTAAACCAAAATCTGTCTTTCTGTTTTTTGATTTTTTTAAAAAAAGTAATGTTCCTATTGTCTTTAGAGAGAGGAAGGAAGAGGGAGAGAGAGAGAGAAATATCTATCGCCTGCCTCCTGCATGCCCCCCTACTGGGGACTGAGCCTGAATCCTGGGCATGTTCCCTGACTGGGAAATCAAACCAGCAACCTTCTGTTGCATGGGATGCTCAACCAAGTGAGCCAAAGTGGCAGGGCTGTTTTTATGTTTTTCATCCATTGATACTTGTTCTTCTCATAGGGCCCATTAAAACAATGGTGGTTCCTTTTCTGATTGCCCTGTAAATATTTAAAGGCATCTAGTTGTTCTGCTTCTGTTTGGTCTCTTCCTGCTATAGCCTACTTTTGATCTCTTGTGATGTGGTTTGAGGTTTTATTCTTGTCTCTTAGGAATTTAACGTACTTTGACATAGTCCTTTGGCTGTAGCATCCAACAATATTTTCAGGATCTCCTTATTAGAGGAGAGCAGAACTCTGATATTATCTTGCATGTTGTAGTCACTAAATATTTTTAAAGTTCAATATAGTATCACTTCACCTTTTTTTGGTATTTGCCTAACAGTGTTGCTTGATGTTTAGCTCACATTCACTAAAATTTTGTGTTGATCTTACAGATGTTAGCATCTTTTTTTCTGAATCATTGCAGTTAGAAGAAACTTCAAGGGACTAATTAAGAAGAAGAATTATATCTAGCTAATATATTTCACCCAAAAGTGGTTTAATTTCTATACTATATATGTATTTATTCACCTGGTGGCTTCTTTAAGTAGGTTCATATCATACTCATATAAGTTGATAGACAAGAGAGTAGCATCACAAATTTTGGATTGAACTTAGATTAAAACAGTCATTGGAAGTTTGGGTGGTTCAGTTAATAAGAAAAGGTATCAAATATCTGTTATTACCTCCCAGAGTTCCTTACCTGGTCTGTGGTATTCCTAAGAAGTCTCACAGTCTAATTCAGCTTTTTTTTTTCTTCACTGTATCAGCATGCAGATACACAAGGAAGAAGTCAGTTATCACCACTGGAAACTTCCAGTGATTTTGGTAGTCCCCATAGGGATCTTTCTTTCTTTAGAAGAATTATGAAAAGCCTCTAGTTCTCAGTATGCATTTCTGTTTGTGGACAGTATTGTCACTCTTTGCCTGGGTACAACTTCCTACACAGGAACTTGATAATTTAATCAGGTAACTGCAAGAACGTATATATCTTTGCTTTTTTTGGTGCCAGTGTTCTGTCAGGGACAAAAGTTGTAGCTATTTCCAGTTTGGGGTCCATTTTGCAAGGCAGATGAACTGTTGTGTCTGATCTTGGTTACTTTAAAGGAAATAATGAAATCTTAGGAAAATTAAAACAATGAGGCTTCTGGGGAGGCAAAAAGAAGCCTGGCATGCAGTTTGGCTTCTCTCCTATACCAACTTCCTCAACTGTGTAAGGAGAGGCTTAGGTCAGGTGACTTTGCACATTTTTCCACTTCCAAGAGTTCAGGATTCTTTGGTCCATTTCACATCTTATTTTATGACTCCTGCCATTTTGGACTAATAGTGGGTGCTTGAAGAATTGTCAAAGGCAGTGGTCACAATCTCAAATGTCTTCAAGGGTTTGAAGAGTTCACCTTTTATGCTTTATGGAACACTATCAGTTTTCTTTCTATGGGAGTCCAGCTTGATTAATTAAGTCTTTAAACCTCCTACTTTTTCCTTTATCAAATTGAGAGTTCTTAATGTTGGAAAGACTCTGTTACTCTAAGAAGTATGACCAGAATCTAATCCTGCTTCCCCACTCCCCAACCTCCCCACTGAAACAGGTAGAGATTGGTCATAAAGACAACCTATTGTACATTGGGTATTAGGATTAGGACTCCTTGTTCAGGACTGCGTTTCAATGGGCTTAGCAAGTTGCTCCTGATAGATCTTTAAAAAGTGGGGAAAGATCTCTCGTTCTCTACTCTCTTAAAAGGAGTTGCAGGGACAAATGGGTTGGCATAATGTTTTAATACTGAATAATTAAGCAAATATCTTTTTGGTACTGTGCTAGCTACTTTATATATGTATTAATTCATTTAATTTTTACAGCAACACTGAGTGGTAAGTGAATAATCCACATTAAGGGTAAGTGATTATTCCACATTAAGGATTTGCCCAAGTTCTAAAGCCAGTGAGTTTCAAGAGCCAGGAATTTAACCCAGATCTCTTGATTCTACTGTTTCATATGCTACATCCCAGTAGAGTAGCCATGTTTAGGGAGTTGACTCCGATCATTCTCCTGACCTTTATTTTATAATATCATGCCTTATTCCCAAAGGATTTGAGGCATCTTAAATGACTTACACAATCCACAGTGGAAAGTTTTTATAGTTTGCTGTTGATAGAGCCAGGGCATGTCAAGGTGAGAACCTAAAAACAAGAAAACTCATTAAGTCCAGGCATTTAAGCCTCTACAGACCTCTCATGTGCTTTCTGTTTAACCTGAGACAGTTGCTCACAGTTTTTTGATCTATTCCTTCATGTACCAAATAGATCTGAGACTGAAATGCTATATCCTTGCTCTATTTTCTCTTGATTACATGAAGTCTAGCCCTCATGGAAATTACATAATTGGCATTCTCATGTAAAAAGTTAAATCTCTGTGCAAAGGTGCAGATGGTTACGGATTATTACCTGCATATACGTAATAGGACGGTAAAGGAAGTATGTAGGGGAATGTGTTCATCTGATCCTGTGATGGAAAGGTTCAAAGAAGAGAGTTGTTGATAAGGGCCAGATTGACCAATTACAAGAAGATAGAACTTTTGTTTATTTTGTAGATTGACTTTAGGCTAGTGTGAGGAACAGGGATGGGTATGGCCTAACAGTAATAGAGAAAAGAAAATAAATTAAGCATATTCTGAACTCAGTGAGTAAACCAGCTTGGATAGAAGGAGAGTTAAGGGAGATGAGGTTGTTAAGATTGGTAGAGAATGGATGATTAAAAGTTCTCCATGTTACTGTGGAAACTTAACCTTTCTTTTTTGTTGTTGTTAATTCTCACTGGAGGATATTTTTTCCATTGATTTTTAGAGAGTGAAAGGGAGGGGGGGAAGAGAGAGAGGAGAGAGAGAGAGAAAGAGAGAGACAGAGATTGGCTGCCTCCTACACGCTACCCCAGCTGGTGGGGCCGGAATCAGACCTGCAATCCTTTGTTGTGCAGGCCAACACTCTAACCACTGAGCACACTGGCCAGAGTGAAACTTACCCTTTCTTTAAGGCTCCATCTTGATTCCTTCCCCTTTCTGTTTAGTGGTTAAAACTGAATTCAAGAGTCACCACCTCCAGGAAGCTTTTTTGACCCAGGCTAGATATCTCTCTGATTAACACTATCAGCCTGG